ATATGAATTTAGTGATTAGAAGGAATGGGTGTTATAACGAATGCTGACAAACAGATAATTATTTGTTGCAGAAATTTAGTAGAATCATAATTATTCAAAAATAACATTTAGTTGGGAAAGAATAAAAGCCAAAATATATTTTCTAAAAAGTATAAGTATTCAAGTTGTCAGTGTTATGACTCTTATTTCTGTAGGTTTCATGACACTGTTCTTTGTGACATTAAACGCTGGAAAGTATTTGAATGATTTATTAGTTATTATGTTTATTAGTTATTATGTTTGTTGAATACATTTTAGTTTAAGGAATTGCTGGTGAGATTGCAGAAAACTCAGGCTTTTATATTGCTTGAATGATTAATATCTTTCAAATTTGTTAAATATTTATTCTTTAGTGTTCTAATTTTTGCTATTAAAAGTATTGTACAAATTTTAATTTTTAAACAAATTTATACAGGTGATAACTACTATTTAATAATAATTCTTGAATAGTCAAAGATTCATTTTTCTCAGTGCCTTAAAAGATGAGGCCCAGCTGCAATCAGCGGGCCAACTTGTTGTAAACAAATTGAAGTGGCACTCCAAGATTCCTCTGGCTGCTCCTCCTCTTCAGCTGGCCATTACCCACCGACTGCCATTCGGGTTCAACTCAACCCTTGCCCTTAGCCACACCTCTCACCCGTATCCCCGCATCCATGGAGTCACCACTGAATCGGGGATCGGGAATCAGGATGGGGATGGGGACGACGTGCCTTCATTAGGCTATGCAGGGCGCGTAGGCAGAATGTGTAAACATGAAGCGATTTTCCATTCCGAATGCGTCTCGTGTGCTATGCGTAATTTTAATTGATTTCATTTACGCATTTTTGACTAATGTTCACACGCAGCTAGCTGGGGCTAGAAAGCGGGTCTCCCGGGGGGTGCAGCTCATTTAGCATGGACTCGACGCGTTGATGGACAGAATCCAACTCCAAATGACTGCACCAGGGGAGTTTATTTTTGGATCCTGTCCCAAAGCTAGCATCTATGCATCCGCCTTCTGCTCCGAAAAAATATAGAAAATCTGTAACATAAATTTCACTTTGATCTTTATTTTTGAGTGTGGCCCACCACCACTGCAACTTTGCTAAATTCCGTTGAGAACGAAAAAGAAAAATATTTAAAATTTTAATTGCCAGTAGAGAGTGGCGAACGTTGACCCAGTTTCGAAAGTCTTTTGCTTGGATTGACCAGAGTCCCCCAAGTGGGACAGGGGATTTTTCTTTTGGGGGAAAATGTGATTCTTATGGGAGAGTGCATTTATTTTTGTTCGAAATTAGTGGTGCTTGAAGACGTGACTCGGGGGACAGCAAAGAATGTATACATTTATTATTATTATTTTCCCAAATCATCACCTATTTAAAGCTTTTCGTACAATCATCCATACTTTGCTAATTGCCAAACTGTGCAATCGAAACTCTTATATATCGCAACGACTTTTGATTACGCCATTAGAGATAGCTCTTTTTTTTTGGGTTTTTCTTTCCAGTTCTGCCATCAATCTCAGGCAAAACTGTCATCCCTCGCAACCATAAGCGATTTGGCAAAAATCGTGTGACTGAAAGTAAACCTCCTCCTACAAGTTGCCTGGGCCATCAATCAATCAATCACCTAATATGAATATGAAAATATGAACCCGAACTCAAACTCGAACCCACACACAATTATTGCGGCGGGTTTATCTTTCGTGCATTCGCCTGCTGCCATTCATTATTCATTGTCTGACTGTGTGTGTTTTTCCTCTCGCCAGCCAAGTTTTCTTATCTCTGTGGCAACACAATGTTGGCCATGTTTTCCTTATGCAGCTACTGCCACAAAAACTGCACTCGAAATGGAACGGGAGCCACATTGCTATCCATTTTTGTAGCAAAAATATAGTACTTGAAATGTTTTTAGAAAAAAACAAAAACAGAAACGGCTAAGTTCAGTGAGCGACCGAACCCCTGGAAAGCCCAGTTATCCAAAACCACACCCATCTGGAGAGAGCTCTTGTGACCATATAATAAGTGCTGGTATCACACTTAGAGATCATAAAGCCTAGAAAATTTGTAAGGAACTTAATAAGGCAGCTTCTGTAGCCTCAATTTGTAATATATTATTTTATATTTATTACAGTAGCTATACTGCCTTTAAATAAGTGTTTTATGATTGATTTTGTTTGATCCACATAAATCGAGACTCCAATATAAGCCAGATTGAAGATACCTTTGTGAAAATAAGCTATTTATTTATACCACGAATAAACTACTCATAACAATAAGTAAATTTGGTATAAGCATTTATTTATGTAAACTATAAAGCATATATAAAAAATTACATAAAAAATGTTTAAGTTTTTATAAATATCCATTTAACCAACTTATAACTTCCCTATATAATGCCCACAAACCATTTTCCACCTCCCATTTTAAAGTCCAGTGTCATATAGCCTTAACTAATTCTCATATTCACTGGCAGTCAGTCAATTCACTTGCCATGCAGTCGGCATTTGCTTTTATTTCTACGTAATTGCGAATCTTTTGAAGCGATGCGAACGACACTCTGCGAACTATATCATCATACAATATCGTCGAAGTCGCGTATGCATATTGATTGATTGCTAGGCAATTTGCACGTGCTCCAATTTGTGGCCGGCCGGGCTTTGCTTATTGTCGCCGTGTTCTCTCCATACGAAATCAGTTTCTGCCCCCAGCCAGCACCTTGGCCCTTGGCGTACCACCCCTCACATTCATGGTTCTTACTGCACCCACATGGATTTGTCACGTTTTCCACCTTTTGTTTTTTGCTTTTGGGTTCTTGGAAATGTGTCAAACGCCAGAGCCGCGAGTTTTCCATCCAGCAATTTGCAATTGTTGATAGATGGCTTATGTAACTGCCAAAGAGTGTAAAAGGTAAAACATTAAAGTAGCAAAAAAGTAATACAAAAAAGAAAAAGTATCTGAGAAGCTAAAGAAACCGAAGTTTGCATGTCCTAACATTTTGCAATTGGAACAGGGAAGAGGGAACGAATTGAAATTAATCATCATTTTTAATGCTGCAGTTTTAAATAATTAGGATTTTAATTACGAATTGGCTTTCTTGACAATTTATGCCCTTAAGACGATCTAAAATATTAACATTTTATAAATCGATATGTATCACTTATTAATGAACAACTCCAAGTTTAAAATATCATTGCTCAGCCAAAAATTCATTAATTTAGATTCGGAAAGCTGTTTAATGATAATTTTTATAGGTTAATATATCTGCATACTTAATTTCAAATGTAAAAATTTTTTTGTCAATTTTTATAATTTTAACTTAAAAAATGAGTGATTTTCAACGGGATATGGCTAGATCGACTTGGCTGTCGATGCTGATCACGAATATATATATGATATAAGGGGTCGGAAATGACTCCTTCACTGAATGAATTATAATACCCTCTGCAAGGGTATAAATATTTATATAACCCGCGAATAGGGGAATTACCGTAGTTCGGTCTGCAAATTAGGAGTGGACAAGTGCAAGGCACTCAATCAATTAGCGATAGTTAAGCCACAGACTTGGGCCATGTTTTGGGTTGTTATCAATGGTTTTGGCTAAGACAAGGAGTTGCAGTTGATTATATATGAAATCTGGGTACAACATATATCTACTCACCTGAACCGTCATATGATATATATTTGTGTTTAATGTGATACCTTCCCACTGAATATTGTTAAAACCCTTAGCCTAAATAATTAATTTCTTGGAAGAGTGAACGTTATAATTTACAATTCAATTCATGTCCGGCTGCAGTTCGAGCTCCATTAATTTACGACTTTTCACCATGGTTGTAATTTAGATAATCCGATAGTCTGTCGGACTCATTCACTGTTTTTTCTAGCATATTCAGGCTGTCTGCCTGCCTGTGCTCCATCAATGGCAGTTTTTTATCGTATCGGTCGGCTTTTGACAGATTTTCACGACTTTCCTCGGCCCGCCCAACACGCTCTGGATTTTAATTGCTCGGCGGACTGGCACACACATATATATAAATATATATCTTTCTCCTCCCAAATGAGACGCATCATAAATAATAACTAATGTTTTGATAAGCACGCCAACAGGCGTACCAATTTTTTTGTTTATCAAATTACGGATGAAGTTTGTTCATTAATTTTGGCAAATTTATCTGACGTTCGTTGGGGTTCCCCCTTGCGAAGCTTCAAACCCCTTCCGCTGAGACAGCGTCTGTTTGGCTTCCGCTGGTGACTGCCTCTATGAAAGTTGCCCAGTGGGAGCTCAAGCGTCATTCGGTGGGGCTTTCGCACCTCCTTGGTGAAGTGGTTTGGGGCACCTCATCGCATCGCGTGGGTTTTGTTTGAGTCGTCAGCGGAGTCAGCGTCATCATCCTCCAGGTCCCCAGGTCTGCCACGTCTGTTGCGTGCAGACGACAGAACTAGACGTAATCTCGGCAGCCTGTCAAACAGTATCTTAAAGATGCATCCGGGGGGAGAATTGAGGGGACTACCGCCAACTGGCAACTGGTTCTGATCGCATCTCTGAGTCTGGTCTAGTCTTCGCTTGGGAAGGCACTAAATAAATTGCGGCCTTTTGACCAAGTTTATGACACACGTTTAGCTGTCTACTTGGCCCACGCTCATCCGCTCTTCACAGTGAGCAGGAAGAGAGTTGGGAGCTGTCCATTTCCCTTCTTTTCTCGGTTTCCCATCGCCCATCTTCTCCAATGTCTCTCCGCATTTCTATTTTCAATTAAGATCTCGTATTTCAGGCGCCCGACAAACTCGCAATTGTTGTTGTTAAATTATTAATTGACATTTGCCTGGCGCCACAGAAGAGCCAAAGCAAACTCAAGTGCTCCCTGAGTCTTCGTCTCCCTGCTCTGCCCCCTATGTGTTTTTTTTTTTGTTTACAAATTTGTTACACAGTTTTTCAATTTACTTATATATCGAATTGCCGTATTGCCTTTTGCTTTGTAGGTGAATTCAGTGCGAATGTTCCGCCAGACGTTGAAGCTATGGCAGCCGCTGCTCTAAGCGGCATGGAAATGGGATCTGGACCAGGATCAGAGGGATACGAAAACGCCGACTACAACGATGAAAAACCGAAAAAGGCCATGGAAAGTGGTAAGTCTGGGGATAAATTACATTTGAAATGGAGAGTAATTTAATTTATATGTTCAAATATAAACATAGAAAATCGCACAACATTTAAAGAGCCTTAAACCAATTTATTTGTAAACATTATTTAATTGCAATAATTTCTTTACCAAAGAGATTCTTAAAGAGCTTAAAGTCGAACTTTACATCAATATTCCCCATATTATTTACTGAAACCCCTAAGAATAATAAAATGTCAAGGTAAACCATGTATTTTTATACAATTTTATAAATACTTGGGATTGTTAAGACCCAAAAACTTCTTCATATCAGATTTTCTCTAGAATCTATTCTCCATAAGACTTGTTTGCTATTTGTCTATCGGTTTTCAAATCCTCGATAGTATAGTGGTTAGTATCCCCGCCTGTCACGCGGGAGACCGGGGTTCAATTCCCCGTCGGGGAGAGGTGTGAAAGCATTTTTTTATTATTTATATTTTAATATAATACAAATTTAGTTATTTTGTTGTTTAATTTGTTTTATTTCATTTAAGTAATATTTTAAAATAAAAGAAAAGACATCAAAACAAAAAAATAACAGAAAGTAGTACGTTCTTAACTACCAACTATCTATTTGGAGTGTTGCTCAGTTAATTCATATAACATTGTAAAAAAATTTATTAAATTATCCCTTATTCCATTGAATAAAACTAAAAAAATATTAATAAGTAACGTAAAAAAAGAAGGGAAAAAAATGTTTTCACATCTCTCCCCGACGGGGAATTGAACCCCGGTCTCCCGCGTGACAGGCGGGGATACTAACCACTATACTATCGAGGATGTTGAACGCGGCTTGCCAAACGCGAAACGAAAGCGGGTCGTATGTTCTTGGCTTAGGTTCTCTGTCGGTTCTCTGAGTGTTGTTCGCATTTAGTTATGACTATATCTATATTTAGATCCGATAGCAGTGGAGTCACCCTCTCGCAAGGTGTTAATGGGGAGAATGGTTGATGCGTTTACAAATTATGTTTGACGCGGTTGAACTCGCTGCGTGGCAACTCCTCTCCGTGTATATGTGCCCCCAGCTCGAAGTCAATGGGAAGGGTGTGTGTGTGGGTAGATTTATGCCCAGTGCTGCGTGTAATTATAATTTATCGTTGTGGAAATTCCATAAAACTTTAACACCTCACCTTGGGGTCCGTGATGAAGTGCAGTCGAGAAGAGGAAAACAAAAAAAAAAGAGCCACGAAACGAGCCTGAGATGGAATCAAAAAATGAGCTGCATCAAAGTTAATTGCACTTCACTTTCTGAAGGGTTGAGAATACAAACGAAAAAAAACCTGTAGGTTGATCCGCTTTTCGGCTTTTCCACTCCGCTGTTTGTGTGTGTGTCTGTGCCTGTATCTATCAGATTTTAATTCATTGCAAAAGTGTGCAAGAATGGAACAAATTCCAAGCATTTTTCCACATGATGCTGACAACATGAAATGTCTTTGGTTTATTTTTACACACACCCAACATCGCACACACAATAAAGTGTCGCCCACGTTGACACAAATTTTGTATTTTTTTTTTTTTTGGTACAATACGAAAATTTCCATGCTGCATTGGTCTGGTATATTTGGTATCCGTGAGATAAAATGGACTGGACTGAGAGAAGGAGAGCTACCGTCCAACAACAAAGCCCAGGGACAGAGAAGAATCCGAGTTGTCCTCGGGGACCTGGACCATTGCATGACTTTGATTTAGGGCCCAGCCACACTCCAAGTGACATCTCGGACCCTTTTGCCTGAGACCTTCGTCTTTTGTGTGATTTCTGGCCATGGTTTCTTTGGTGATTTCTGGTGATTTCTTCGTTGATTGAAAGCGGGAGCCTGTTGCGCACATCTGTTGGCCATGTTGTGTTGCAGTGACCCGAGGGTTTCCTCTTTCTCTCTCTCTCTATATGTGCTCTTGTGTATCTAATGCCGGTTCTTACATTAATTCTAAAGATAAAGATACCGATTCGGATTCAGATTCGTTACAGATACAAATACAGATACATTCGGCCCGCCACACTGTCTGGCCCTGTCGGCCGCTTGTCTTTATATATTTTTTTGTGTGTGTTTATTGTACGGATCGAGAAGTGTTCCGCCGTCCCCCGCTCTGTTTTTCACACGAAATACTCGAAAATTTAAAATTGATTTTTGGATTTTGGATTTTCTATTGTATACAGCCAGCACAAAAAGATACAGAGGAAGAACAACAGAAATGTGTACATGCCTCGTTTATGGCTGGAATCAACCTTTTAGCCCCCGCAACGCTCTCCTCAGCCAAAGACGAAAGCAAACAAATTTGAAAGCACAGTGCAGTGCTAATGGAACGAACAAATCCAAGTCTCGGCCAAAGGCTTTTTAGCACAGGTGCTAATTGGGCAATGCAGCAAATCCTCGCGTCCAACTCGCGCGAATTAGCACGGAGATCGTACAAAAATTTCGCGCTAGAGATACTTTCAGAATTCTGCCTCTAATCAAATGCGATCCACAACAGTCATGGCATCTGCACATTCCACTTTAGTTTGCATTTTTTTTTGTGTTTCTGAACCGTGGAAGAGCAGTAAAAAAAGTGTAATAAACATATTTATTTTATTGCAATTAATTTATAAAAGTTATATTGCCCTTAGTTAAATTTTTTGTGTAGCAATGGGGTACTCATTATAAACCTAATCAAACTCAAAGACTCTGGAGAGCTTTATGTTTTATAACATTTTTATTAAAATATATTTAAAATTAGAGTACATCTTTAAATTGTTGTTTTACATTTTTGTTAAACAAAACTGGTGAATCATGAATTCTAGCTTTGTTTCCTTAGATTCTTGGAACAATATTTATTAGTAAAAGGGGTTTTCCAAGTCTTAGCTCATAGGGTGATTAGCATGAATATTATATATGCATTCAGCAAGTTTCTAAATATTTATAATTCTTATAAAATAATGTATAAAGACTCTAAATACTGATAAATGCTCCTTGAACCCCTTTTAATTCATATACAAAATTAAATCTAAATGTTGGCTTCTATCCATTAAACTCAATTGATGGTATCCCCAGAAGCAACTAGATTTTGTGGCTCCTCTTAAAAGAGGAGTTCACCATAGTTGCCCTCAGGCCGAAGTCCCTTAACCATTCACCATTCCCTCCTCCGACTCCGTTTCTTTCAGTTTTTTTTGTTTCTTCTCCAATTCTCTGACTCTGGTGCAGCGTCTGGCTGTGCGCCGCATGACTCCTACACTTGAGAAATCACACCTCGCAGCAGCCACATCTACAATCCGGGCATTTAAGGGGAGTAGGGAGTATGGGAGTAGGGAGTATGGGGGAGTAGGGAGTAGGGGAGTGGGGGAGTGAGCGTGCAGGGAGCTGGATGTGGATGTGAAGAGCTGGGGGCATCATCCAGAGATTTGACTAGACAAAACCAGAGCAGACCCCGAGAACCAGATCGAAATGAATTATGGCCCGGGCGTGATAATAAACGAAAGATCAGCACTGCGATTGGAGTGGAATGCACCGGGAGAAAAGAATAACTATACTATAAAGTATATTCTTTGAAATATACAAAATATTATCTTTAAATATATTCCTTTGAAACAAAAGTCAAAGTTAAATATTATCTCCCGTCATAAAACATAAAATATCTGTGGCCTTGGTCGATGTTAAAGTTCAGAAGCATTAATTCTCGCGGATGTTATCGCGGGTCATAAACAAAATATGTGCAAGTTGTGTGCGGATCACAGAGGTCGTCACGGTCGCTTCAAATGCGTTTTTAATGTCGCCGCATCTTCGGTTGGTAGAACAGATCTTAGATCTAAGTTCTGGGAGTACCTGAGGATGAAGGAGAAGTGCTAAGCGATTCTGACAGGTAGGAGAATGGAAACCGGAGACTAGACCATAATTAGCAGTGACTACTGTGTGGCTAATGAGTCCCGAACAGGCAAACCGCAGCGATTCCAAGTGATATTTATACCTACAAAAACAATAAAGGTGCTAAAAAGTGAGACTTATTAATTACAAAATGAGAAAAAGTTAGTATAAATAAATAATGATAAATTAGTAATATGAAATATATATATTTTTCAACAAAGATACAGATACCATACAGTTCTTATTAAGAAAACTTACCTTCTTTTCCCTTGAATTATAACCATTTAACTTAAAGGCAAGAAGCAACTACCGGTGATATCCCATGGATGCAGATACTGCAAAGTATCTTTGGGATACCAAGAAGGCGTGCTATTAAGTTGGCCATGGTGTCGCTGCTAATCACACGTTGCCTCGCTAACAAATTCGACCCGAACTTATTATTATTATTGCATGCTGCGTTGCATGCCCCCGTATGCAAAAGGGCCCCTGCAATTATGCACCCGATGATTCCCTTGCCGATTCCCGTATCTAGATATGTCAGTTATAATAAGCACCAAGCGAAATACGAGCACCACCAGCAGCAGCACCAGCAACATCAACAACAACAAGAACAAGTTAAAGATACAACAACAACAAACACAACGATGCTAACCAAAGATCAAGATACACACGGACTTACAGATACACACGCACACTCAGAGGGGCCTAGGTGAGGCATTTAAAAAAAACTTGAATTTCAAGTGAGCAAACAAGAACCCAAAAGAGAGCCAGAGATAGAGAGTGAGAAAAAGAGACAGAGAGAGAGAGAGAGAGAGAGAGAGAGAAATTTCAGTGAGAGCTGAGAGCCCAAAAAGTATCTTTTATCATTGGCGCGTTTTTAAACGCACAGAATTGCTTTGGCTAGCGTTTTTAAACGCCTGCATATTAAAGTCGCACGTAAAACGCGTACACCGCGATAATTAAATTATACTATAAGAAAATAAAAACGACAGAACGAATAGAAAAAAAGTGATAACTTCTGATTTTTAACAATTTTGTATCTACTCTAAAAATGTGCAATTTTTATAATTATGGAAGAATTTTGGTTTGATTCTAAAGTAAGAAAAAGGTCTAATAAATCTTCAACTTTTATCAA